GAGCATTTGGGACTGTACTGAAGTCAAATTGGAAGACTCCATTTGGAGTTCAGTAAATCTTGATAGCACAATTATAATTCATTCAAGAAGTTACACTAAGTATGTAGACTTTTTGGTGAAATCCCAAAATAAAAATAAAATACCCCATTCTGAAGGAATAAGATATGTACTTCTTGAATGTAATCAAATCTGTAGGGGTTTAATAAATCTTAATCTACTTCAGCTAAATGTGCTTTAATTTAGATATGGCAAGGACTTAAAAGTATTAGCTGTGTTGCTATTATAGAAGTCATTTGTAAAACATCTTTACATTTTGATTAAGGTAAATGCAACTGGTTCTAGATCACATGGAGTTTAGTGTTCGTCAGACAGCAAACTGTAATGTTTTTCACATTTCAGGATGACTGAGGTCTTCCATAACCAAAGACATAAAAGATTTCATCACAAGAGTGAAAAACAAAATTGAAAGACGGTCTGCAAACTGACCGCACAGGCTAAAGGATGATGTTCTCCTATATTCATAGTCATTGAGGAACTTCAGTATTTGTCTTTTCTATTTCATCTACCAGATTCTGGTACAAAGGGGCTTCAAAAAGTTTGTGGAAAAATAGAATCAATATAGGGAATTTTTCCATTGAACTTTTTGAAGCCCTCATATAGTGTACTGGAATTTTTCAGAATATTTATATTCTTGTGAAAATAAAAATAGCTGCTGTATAAAACTCAAGGTAGTTACAGTCATTTCTTTTGAAATTTTTCCAAAGCAAAATAGTTGGAGAAAAATAGGGAGAGCTTTTAAAAAGCTTTATATAAAAGCAGTTTATAATAATCTTTAAATATAAAATTCTGTCAATAAAACAAAAGCCATATCATTCACAAACTCAATATGATCTTAAAAGGAAAAGTGCTTGCTTCCACACAACTGGAACATTGAGAGAACTATAGAAAATATTGTGGCAACCCATTATTATAAACTTAATTTTACCTTACTCAATTCTTCCATTATCTCTGTTTTGTCATAATCAGAGAGGATACTTCAAAAAGTTATTTGGGGTGGGGGACGACATTATCTTTTAACTCCACTTTTCCACTCCTGTTCTTGAAGTCTCTTCGTATTGATTCAGGAGCCCTGGTGCCATACTGGTTACTCATTGGGCTGAAATCCTCAAAGTCAGCAGTTCTAAACCACCAGCAACTCGTTGGGAGCAAGCTAGGACTTTCT